AGAAACCAGAAACACCAATCAGAAAGGATATATGCACCCCTATGTTCATAGCAGCACAATTCATCATGGCTGAGATTTGGAAACAGCCTGAGTGCCCATCGGCAGATGAGTGGATTAGAAAACTGTGGTACATCTACACAATGGAATACTATGCTGCGGTAAAAAAAAAGGAACTCTTGCCATTTGCAGCAGCATGGATGGAACTGGAGAGCATTATGCTAAGTGAAATAAGCCAGGAAGTGAAAGAAAAACACCACATGATCTCACTCATTTATGGATAATAAAGAACATTATAACCTAATGAACTAAAAGATAGATACAGAGGCAGAGAAGCATGGAACAGACTGTCAAATTACAGTGGGTAGGCTGGGGAGTGTTGGCAGGGGTGGTGGGGGTATGCATGCACAAGAAACTGGGGCGTGGTGATAAGGGCATGTGCAGGGGGGTTGGGGAGGCCGGGGTGAGGTCAATGGGGCAAAAAAGGAGACATTTGTACTACTACCTGTAATACTATAAACAAGAAAATAAAATTTAAAAAAAATCAATACACTGTAAAAATAAATAAAATAATAAAAAAATAAAAGCCAATCAATTCAGGAGAAATGTGTCCTTTGTCTTATGTACCTGGAACTCTTATAATAGATCATGTTTTATTCTTTGCATTTGCCTCAAGGAATTAGAGCCAACTTTTTCTTACTTCAAGAACTATATGAGGCCATGTGTTTCCCTGCCACTATTTCTTTATCCCAATTTTATTATTTGTATTATAAATTGGCTCAAAAATGACCTCAAATCCAAATGGAACAAGATGAGAGAGTGTTGTATTTTATGCCTTAAAATATTGAGAGAAATGGTCATAAGGTGGCTGAAAAAAATTTAACAACTACTACTGGGTGCTTAATATAAGCCAGATACTACTCCAGGCACTTTTAACCTGATTTTTGAACAGTGAGAAAAAAGGTATTATAAAGTCTACAAATGATAAACGGAAGTGGAGAGGGGTTAAATAATTTACCTAAGTTCACAAAGCTAACATGTGCAGGGCCAGGCTTGAATGATTATAAAGACACATCATACACAAGGTCTGATCAAATTAAAGACTATGCTATGCTTCAAAAAGAAAAAGAATTCTAGCATTGTAAAGTACCTTTCTTTGTTTCTAGCAGTACTTGAGAAATTTTTTAATTTCAATTTATATGCACAAAAGAAGACAAGTCACTTGGCAGTAATTTTACATTAGTATTTAAAAAATAATAAACTTTAACAAAGTCAACATTTAATCATTCCCAAAGGAGAACTAGAAAAATCACAACAAAACTTAAATTCCAAATAGCAGACATAAATAAAATATTAATATTCATGATAAAGTTGAACAAAGATTTGGGTCAAAAGGAAAAAATTAGACATATTATTCCAATTAGCACTACATATAACTTGAAATATTTTTTGCCGCACCAAAAAAAAAGACCAGGCCAAAAAAAAGAAAAAAAAAGAAAAAGGTTTTTGAGGGGAAGGAGGGGAGAATAAAGGGGAACTTATGACTCACAATTAACAAGAGGATAAAAAATTAGACTCACCTGCTCAAGTCACTTTTTCCATGGTGATGATAGCGGTCAGGATGACTGAGGGGGTAATGTTCCTGTCCACTCCACCTCTGGGGTGACCTTTTCCAAAATCCTTCCTGAGACTGCCGAACATTTCTGTCTGATCGATCAAAGCGATTCATATTGTCACACTCCACTAGGCAGATTCAAAAGCAAAACACTATAAACATGTACATACGCTACAAAAGTTAACTACTTAGAGCTTGATCATTAATTGCTGCTGAAAATATAAAATTCTAAAAAATACCAATCATTTATGTTAGCTAATCACAAAATCAAGATTTCCAGAAAAAAAAAAAAAAAAAAACTAGTTCTTTTGGTAACAATTAAGTTTATATCATCCAAAACTAAAGTAAATTATAAAACTTTCCTATCACAGTCACTAAAAGTAATAATTAATGGTCCCACTGTTTCAAAACAGCAAATGATATTTGAAATCAGCATTATACGTCTTAAACACCAGTTTTAAGTGGTTTTCATCATTGTCACTAGTTGGTTCTGACTTCAGAATAAAGTGACAAGAAAAAGTATTTAAGGCTAGTATGGAATTCATTCCTTAAAATGAATGTCACAATATTCCTAATTTCAAAAAGCTCAAATTAACTCTTCATCACAAACAAATCCTATATTTGTAATTAAGTTCACAGTTTTAGAAAGACGCTTCTTCAATCTGCCTGCAGGAGAGGCTGTCCGAAACGTCTAAAATGCCACTGAAAACAAAGCCAGCCCTTTGTAGCAACAAACAGTACACTCCCTGATATCCAAGTGCCACAAAAACACGAAAAGAATCTCTTTGAAACACCAAGCTTCTCCTGCACTTACCGGAACACTGTTTCCTCACAGATCTGAGCACTGGCTGAGAAAGTTACTCTGTACAACAGAGACATTGTGTCGCCTGCTGCCTACTCAGACATAGTTGCACCAGGGCAGACAAGCAGGCCTTCCTTCCTGCTCAATCCCAGCCTCCCTGTGGGAAGCAAGCCCAGTTTACCCCGTGACTCCATCTTCCCTCCAGCTTACATAGCTACTGAGTTAGGACTGTTACTAAAAATACAACGCAACACTCAATCAAGCCAGAAACAGGACAGGATTCTCTAGTCTGAGAATTACTACATGAGAAAGTTCAAATCCGGCATGTTCAGAACTCCTTGTGATAAAAAACAAAAACAAACCCTAAAAAATAAATGTAATCCCAATTTAAAAACAACTCACTACAGTATTTAAATGACTGTTTTCCCTTAACCTAAAACTTGACTTAAAATATGGAGAGTATCCCATTATACTACACCAGATAAAAAACACTTTCCCATTCCAAAGGAAAAATGGTATAATTCAATTCTCATATACATTGAACTCACCGTAACATGTCTTCTAAATGAGTAACATTTTATTTTTTAAAAATATATTTTTATTGATTTCATAGAGGAAGGGAGAGAGAGATAGAAACATCAATGATGAGAGAGAGTCATTGTTCGGCTACTTCCTGCACGCCCACACTGGGATCCAGCCAGCCCCACAACCCAGGCATGTGCCCTGATGGGAACCATGACCTCCTGGTTCATAGGTCAATGCTCAATAATGGAGCCCAGGCTGGCCAGGCTAAGATTTTAAAAGACACTGAAATTTTGTTTAACTTCATTAGAGAAATAAATTGGGGGGTGGGGGGGGACTATGTTTTATGGTATTTTCAAATACATTTTTGTTGTTGTTGTTAATCCTTTCCCAAGAATATTTTCCCATTGATTTTTAGGGAGAGTGGAAGAGGGAAAGACGGAAAGAAACATCGATGTGAGAGAAACACATTGATTGGTTGTCTCCTGTATGGGCCCTGATCAGGGCACGGACCAGGGAGAAGCCTGCAACCAAGGTATGTGCCCTTGATCAGAATTGAACCTAGGACCTTTTGGTTCTCAGGCTGACACTCTATCCACTGAACCAAACCGGCTAGGGCTGATAAAACTTTTAAAGGCAGTTTACATTTACAATAATTTTATTAATTTATTTTGTTCATTAGATTCCACATGTGAGTGAGATCATGTGATACTTGTCTTTCTCTGAATGGCTTATTTCACTTAGCATAATACTCTCCAGGTCCCTCCATGCTGCCACAAATGGTAAGATTCAGAGACATTGAAGCATGCAACAGACTGACATATTTCAGAGGGAAGGAGGATGGGCGCAGGAAGAGATTAGCCAATGAACTTATATGCAAATATGCATAGCTCCTGGACAGACAATAGTGCTAGGAAGGTCGTGTCACTTTATTGCGATAAATTAAAATCTACTTTTAAGTTCAATTCTAGAAAACTAGGCTGTCAGATAAATAAAAGCATGGTCCTCTATATAGCTGAGGGATGGTCTATATCTACTTTTAAATGTTCTGAATTCGTATTTTTCTTAATCCAGGCAGGTAAAATTCACTCACTCCCCACACAAGAAATTGTTTTAATAAGAACCTGACATGTAAACATCAACAACACAGAATAACAAGTAGCAAACAAACCAGGCAAACAGGTCAGGAGACAGGGTTCAATTCCGTGGGAAATTAAATGCAGAAATATATAGATGTGCTGCTTTTCAGTTTGCTCAAAGTGTTGATACTACACACAGCCTTCAAATTAAAGCACCTTTACTGAAATATGAACTCAAACATGGGCATAATGGCAACTAAATACTGGAAAGAAACTCTGTCATGACCACAAAAGACAGCTGGTAGAAACGGAGACAGAGGTGAGTCCACCAAGACTGTGTAGGAAGGTCCTGCTGACACTTCTAGCTGAGGCACCCATCAATCACATGTTTATTCACTTTACAATGTTATTAAGGAGATAATGTGAAATAACAATCAGTGGTGGTTTCTTAGAAAAGGTTAAAAATTCTCTAACAGAATTGAAGAAATAATGTAGAAAGAAAATAAAATTACAAAATGGAGATAACTCAAAATCACTTTCCAGAGCCAAGAAGAAACAGGACAAATAAGACTAAGGAAGGAAACAAACCCGTCTCAATGTGTCACAACAGAAAATGATGGGATAAACCTAAAGGAATCCTAGTTTGAAAAAGTTTTAACCCAGTATGCTGATCAAAACTACCTACACACAGCAGATTGGGCCCTAACTATGAGTGTAGGACTAGAGAATAAAGGCCTTCTGAAGGTTTCCAGCTTCAAATGTAAAAGGCAGCAGCTTTAATATGTTGTTTTGTTTGTTTATTTTTACTATGAATAGGAGACAGAGAGATACTCCCAAGACTTTTACCCTCTGAAGAGGAAAAGAGGGTCTTGGTCTTGCACAGCTACCTGCAAGGGAAGGCATGTGGGGGTTGCCAATGTCTAACACTCATCATACCCATTTCTTCTGATTTTGATAAAGGAACACCAAAAGTTACCTAGATCACTTCTCCGGTAGCTTGTCCTAAGAAGGTAATGGAAAGCACATGTAGTATTTCCATCTGTGACTAACAATTGGCTATGAAGATGGTGGGAAGAAATTACACATCACAAAGCCTGAAAAATATGTTCTCAGTGGGAAGTTTTACAATCTGATCAGGAAAGCTTTTAACTGAAATCTGGCTTAAAATTAGAAAGGCTTCTGTAAAATAAAAATTCATGAACCTTGTTATTACTAAACACAATTAGTACTCAAACACAGAAATAAATTTCCAGAAAAAAATACAATAATGACTGGAAAGTGGTCAAGGACAATACTATTATTCTCATACCTCAATTATTATCACTATACCTCAATAAAAGTTAACAAAAGTGTGGCCTTAGGAAAAATAACATGAAATAAGTGCAAGTGAATAGGCACCATAACTTGGTGGGGTGGGATTCAGGAAGAAATTAGACATCGTTTTCAACACAGATAAGTTTAAAACCAGAGTGAGTAGAGAAAATAACACATGTAAGAAGGGATACATAAGAGACATTTCATAAGATTATTATTCTATGAATGTGTCAAATTCTAGGCTTTAATCTATAGGCAATGAGGGATGATTAGAGGTTCTTGAGCAAGAAAATAATGCAATACAATAGTTTTTTATGTAAATGTGAATTGGGGGGGGGCGGGGGAGTTACTAAGGGCTCCTGGTTGCTAACTGGGCTCAAATTATAAAAAGCAGAGCCTAGCAGCCATTTGTACACAGAGGCTTCTAATGCCAACTGCACTTTCACAGAGAAGCTATGCTGAAATACCTGCCTGCAGCTGTGTTTCTGTCATCTGAGCTGGCCCTCATAAAGGAGTTTCTGGAATCCCACTTCAACCAATAGGACTGAGGCTTTCCCCATCCAATAAGAGCTGCACAGCTCCAGCCAATTAGAGTCGCTCCATTCTGACCAATCAGGACAGTGCCTTTTGGATCAATCAAATTTTGAGGATTTGGAGCCCTCATCTGCATGAGGACAATGCAATCAGAGGCCAAGGGTGGGGACTCCTGTCCATATAGACCAGCTTCCTTGTGGCTCCCCAGCACTTTCCCTTATCACCTAAGACTGAAGACTGTATCTCCCTGGCAGAGCTGAAACACCCAAAAATGTTCCCTGAAGGCAGAGCTGTCTAGCTAGAGAGGGGCCTGGTCCAGGGCTGCCTGGCCCAGGGTTGTTCTGTAGTTGTGGTGCAGCACAACCGAGCTGTTCCATAGCCATGCTGCTTCCACAGCACCATCTATACTAATAAAAAAGAGTAATATGCTAATTAGACTGGGAGAACTTCCAGGAGACCTTCCAGATGTTCTTCTGGACAAAGCCATGGTGTCGGGGCTGAGGTAGAGGCGGTTAGAGGCCAAGAGGGGAGGGCAGTTGTGGGTGATCAGGCTGGTGGGGGGCAGGGCCGTTGGGGGTAAGCAGACAAGCAGGGGGGCCAGTAAGGGGTAAGCAGGCCATCAGTGGGGGTCAGTTGGAGGTGATCAGGACAGCTAGAGGGGAAGTTTGGAGTGAGCAGGCCAGCAGAGGGGCAGTTGGGGTGCTAGCAGGCCAGTGGGGAGGGAAGATGGGGGTGAGCAGGACAGCAGGGGAGACAGTTGGGGGG